GTGTGTCGCTTCAGTGTGTAGTGTGTGTGTCGCTTCAGTGTGTAAGATGTTGTGTGTCGCTTCTGTGTGTAGATGTGTGTGTCGCTTCAGTGTGTAGATTCCTCAGTTTGTGTCGCTTCAGTGTGTAGATGTGTGTGTCGCTTCAGTGTGTAGATGTGTGAATTGTGTCGCTTCAGTTGTGTAGATGTGTGTGTCGCATCAGTGTGTAGATGTGTGTAGTCTCTTCAGTGTGTAGATGTGTGTAGTCGCTTCAGTGTGTAGATGTGTGTGTCCCGCTTCAGTGTGAGATGTGTGTGTCGCTTCAGTGTGTAGATGTGTTGTCGCTTCAGTGTGTAGATGTGTGTAGTCGCTTCAGTGTGTAGAATGTGTGTCGCTTTCAGTGTGTAGATGTGTGTGGTCGCTTCAGTGTGTAGATGTGTGTGTCGCTTCAGTGTGTAGTGTGTGTGTTCGCTTCAGTGTGTAGATGTGTGTGTCGCTTCAGTGTGTAGATGTGTGTGTCGCTTCAGTGTGTAGATGTGTGTGTCGCTTCAGTGTGTAGATGTGTGTGTCGCTTCAGTGTGTAGATGTGTGTGTCGCTTCAGTGTGTAGATGTGTGTGTCGCTTCAGTGTGTAGATGTGTGGTGTCGCTTTCAGTGTGTAGATGTGTGTGTCGCTTCAGTGTGTAGAGTGTGTGTGTCGCTTCAGTGTGTAGATGTGTGTCGCTTCAGTGTGTAGATGTGTGTGTCGCTTCAGTGTGTAGATGTGTGTGTCGCTTCAGTGTGTAGATGTGGTGTCGCTTCAGTGTGTAGATGTGTGTGTCGCTTCAGTGTGTAGATGTGTGTGTCCGCTTCAGTGTGTAGATGTGTGTGTCGCTTCAGTGTGTAGATGTGTGTGTCGCTTCAGTGTGTAGATGTGTGTGTCGCTTCAGTGTGGATGTGTGTGTCGTCGCTTCGTGGTAGATGTGTGTGTCGCTCAGGTAGATGTGTGTGTCGCTTCAGTGTGTAGATGTGTGTGTCGCTTCAGTGTTGTAGATGTGTGTGTCGCTTCAGTGTGTAGATGTGTGTGTCGCTTCAGTGTGTAGATGTGTGTGTCGCTTCAGTGTGTAGATTGGTGTGTGTCGCTTCAGTGTGTTGTAGATGTGTGTGTCGCTTCAGTGTGTAGATGTGTGGTGTCGCTTCAGTGTGTAGATGTGTGTGTCGCTTCAGTGTGTAGATGTGTGTGTCGCTTCAGTGTGTAGATGTGTGTGTCCGCTTCAGTGTGTAGATGTGTGTCGCTTCGAGTGGTGTAGTGATGTGTGTGTCGCTTCAGTGTGTAGATGTGTGTGTCGCTTCAGTGTGTAGATGTGTGTGTCGCTTCAGTGTGTAGATGTGTGTGTCGCTTCAGTGTGTAGATGTGTGTGTCGCTTCAGTGTGTAGATGTGTGTGTCGCTTCAGTGTGTAGATGTGTGTGTCGCTTCAGTGTGTAGATGTGTGTGTCGCTTCAGTGTGGTAGATGTGTGTGGTCGCTTCAGTGTGTAGAGTGTGTGTCGCTTCCAGTGTGTAGATGTGTGTGTCGCTTCAGTGTGTAGATGTGTGTGTCGCTTCAGTGTGTAGATGTGTGTGTCGCTTCAGTGTGTAGATGTGTGTGTCGCTTCAGTGTGTAGATGTGTGTGTCGCTTCAGTGTGTAGATGTGTGTGTGTCGCTTCAGTGTGTAGATGTGTGTGTCGCTTCAGTGTGTAGATGTGTGTGTCGCTTCAGTGTGTAGATGTGTGTGTCGCTCAGTGTGTAGATGTGTGTGTCGCTTCAGTGTGTAGATGTGTGTGTCGCTTCAGTGTGTAGATGTGTGTGTCGCTTCAGTGTGTAGATGTGTGTGTCGCTTCAGTGTGTAGATGTGTGTGCGCTTCAGTGTGAGATGTGTGTGTCGCTTCAGGGTTGTGTAGATGTGTGTGTCGCTTCAGTGTGTAGATGTGTGTGTCGCTTCAGTGTGTAGATGTGTGTGTCGCTTCAGTGTGTAATGTGTGTGTCGCTTCAGTGTGTAGATGTGTGTGTCGCTTCAGTGTGTAGATGTGTGTGTCGCGTCTAGTGTGTAGATGTGTGTGTTCGCTTCAGTGTGTAGATGTTGTGTGTCGCTTCAGTGTGTAGATGTGTGTGTCGCTCAGTGTGTAGATGTGTGTGTCGCTTCAGTGTGTAGATGTGTGTGTCGCTTCAGTGTGTAGATGTGTGTTGTCGCTTCAGTGTGTAGATGTGTGTGTCGCTTCAGTGTGTAGATGTGTGTGTCGCTTCAGTGTGTAGATGTGTGTGTCGCTTCAGTGTGTAGATGTGTGTGTCGCTTCAGTGTGTAGGATGTGGTGTGTCGCTTCAGTGTGTAGATGTGTGTGTCGCTTCAGTGGTGTAGATGTGTGTGTCGCTTCAGTGTGTAGATGTGTGTGTCGCTTCAGTGTGTAGATGTGTGTGTCCGCTTCAGTGTGTAGATGTGTGTGTCGCTTCAGTGTGTAGATGTGTGTGTCGCTTCAGTGTGTAGATGTGTGTGTCGCTTCAGTGTGTAGATGGTGTGTCGCTTCAGTGTGTAGATGTGTGTGTCGCTTCAGTGTGTAGATGTGTGTGTCGCTTCAGTGTGTAGATGTGTGTGTCGCTTCAGTGTGTAGATGTGTGTGTCGCTTCAGTGTGTAGATGTGTGTGTCGCTTCAGTGTGTAGATGTGTGTGTCGCTTCAGTGTGTAGATGTGTGTGTCGCTTCAGTGTGTAGATGTGTGTGTCGCCTTCAGTGTGTAGATGTGTGTGTCGCTTCAGTGTGTAGATGTGTGTGTCGCTTCAGTGTGTAGATGTGTGTGTCGCTTCAGTGTGTAGATGTGTGTGGTCGCTTCAGTGTGTAGATGTGTGTCCGCTTCAGTGTGTAGATGTGTTGTGTCGCTTCAGTGTGTAGATGTGTGTGTCGCTTCAGTGTGTAGATGTGTGTGTCGCTTCAGTGTGTAGATGTGTGTATCGCTTCAGTGTGTAGATGTGTGTGTCGCTTCAGTGTGTAGATGTGTGTGTCGCTTCAGTGTGTAATGTGTGTGTCGCTTTCAGTGTGTAGATGTGTGTATCGCTTCAGTGTGTAGATGTGTGTATCGCTTCAGTGTGTAGATGTGTGTGTTCGCGTCAGTGTGTAGATGTGTGTGTCGCTTCAGTGTGTAGATGTGTGTGTCGCTTCAGTGTGTAGATGTGTGTGTCGCTTCAGTGTGTAAGATGTGTGTGTGTCGCTTCAGTGTGTAGAGTGTGTGTCCGCTTCAGTGTGTAGATGTGTGTGTCGCTTCAGTGTGTAGATGTGTGTTGTCGCTTCAGTGTGTAGATGTGTGTGTCGCTTCAGTGTGTAGATGTGTGTGTCGCTTCAGTGTGTAGATGGTGTCGCTTCAGTGTGTAGATGTGTGTGTCGGCTTCAGGTAGATGTGTGTCGCTCAGGGCAGGGATGTGTGTGTCGCTTCAGTGTGTAGATGTGGTCAGTGATGTGTGTGTCGCTTCAGTGTGTAGATGTGTGTGGTCGCTTCAGTGTGTAGATGTGTGTGTCGCTTCAGTGTGTAGATGTTGTGTCGCTTCAGTGTAGATGTGTGTGTCGCTTCAGTGTGTAGGATGTGTGTGTCGCTTCAGTGTGTAGATGTGTGTGTCGCTTCAGTGTGTAGATGTGTGTATCAGTCACAGCTAATCAAAGTGTGTGTTTACTTAATGTGTGTGTGTGTGTACTGTGTATAATTATTTTGTATATATGAATACTCATGCATGTATATATTTAAGAAAAAGTGTTATTTATATAT